GCGCACTATTCCTCCCACTGACACCAATGATGGAGCACTATTCCTCCCACTGACATCAATGATGGGGCACTATTCCTCCCACTGACACCAATGATCGGGCACTATTCCCTCCACTGACACCAACAATGGGACACTATTCCTCCCACTGACACCAATGATGGGGCACTATTCCTCCCACTGACACCAATGATGGGGCACTATTCCTCCCACTGATACCAATGATGGGGCACTATTCCTCCCACTGACACCAATGATGGGGCACTATTCCTCCCACTGACACCAATGATGGGGCACTATTCCTCCCACTGACACCAATGATGGGGCACTATTCCTTCCACTGACACCAATGATGGGGCACTATTCCTCCCACTGACACCAATGAAGGGGCACTATTCCTCCCACTGACACCAATGATGGAGCGCTATTCCTCCCACTGATACCAATGATGGGGCACTATTTTCTCCCCCTGATACCAATGATGGGGCGCTATTCCTCCCACTGACACCAATGACGGGGCACTATTCCTCCCACTGATACCAATGATGGGGCGCTATTCCTCCCACTGATACCAATGATGGGGCACTATTCCTCCCACTGATATCAATGATGGGGCACTATTCCTCCCACTGACACCAATGATGGGACACTATTCCTCCCACTGACACCAATGATTGGAGCACTATTCCCCCCACTAATACCAATGATGGGGCACTATTCCTTCCACTGACACCAATGATGGGACACTATTCCTCCCACTGACACCAATGATTGGGAGCACTATTCCTCCCACTGACACCAATGATGGGACACTATTCCTCCCACTGACACCAAATGATGGGACACTATTCCTCCCACTGATACCAATGATGGGGCACTTCCTCCCACTGACACCAATGATGGGCACACCATTCCTCCCACTGATACCAATGATGGGGCACTATTCCTCCCACTGATACCAATGATGGGGCACTATTCCTCCCACTGACACCAATGATGGGGCATCATTCCTCCCACTGACACCAATGAATGGGCACTATTCCTCCCACTGACACCAATGAATGGCACTATTCCTCCCACTATGGGGCACTATTCCTCCCACTGATACCAATGATGGGGCACTATTCCTCCCACTGACACAATGATGGGCATCATTCCTCCCACTGACACCAATGAATGGGCACTATTCCTCCCACTGACACCAATGAATGGGCACTATTCCTCCCACTGACACCAATGATGGGGCACTATTCCTCCCACTGACACCAATGATGGGGCACTATTCCTCCCACTGACACTGATGGGCACCATTCCTCCCACTGACACCAATGATGGGGCACTATTTTCCCCTGACCCAATGACACCAATGATGGGGCACTATTCCTCCCACTGACACCAATGACACCAATGAATGGGGCACTATTCCTCCCACTGACACCACTATTCCTCCCACTGACACCAATGATGGGGCACTATTCCTCCCACTGACACCAATGATGGGGCACTATTCCTCCCACTGACACCAATGATGGGGCACTATTCCTCCCACTGATACCAATGATGGCGCACTATTTCTCCCTACCAATGATGGGGCACTATTCCTCCCCCCACTGATACCAATGATGGGGCACTATTCCTCCCCCCACTGATACCAATGATGGGGCACTATTCCTCCCCCCACTGACACCAATGATGGGGCACTATTCCTCCCACTGACACTGATTGGGCACCATTCCTCCCACTGACACCAATGATGGGGCACTATTCCTCCCACTGATACCAATGATGGGGCACTATTCCTCCCACTGACACCAATGATGGGGCACTATTCCTCCCACTGACACCAATGATGGGGCACTATTCCTCCCACTGATACCAATGATGGCGCACTATTTCTCCCACTGACACCAATGATGGAACACTATTCCTCCCACTGACACCAATGATGGGGCACTATTCCTCCCACTGATACCAATGATGGCGCACTATTTCTCCCACTGACACCAATGATGGAACACTATTCCTCCCACTGACACCAATTATCCATAGACGGACATATGGAATGTGAAAGGGGCCTTTGTTGTAATTCAATGGATGGTCCACGGTCCCAGAGGTAGCTCACCAGCAACTGTGGGGTCTTGCTGGACCCCCCAGAGGAGTCCACTAAAGTTTTGAAAGTATTTTTGGGCTCTCTGAACTTTGTTCCGGCTCACTCAGTTTATACAAGTTGATTATTCGATCAGTGAAAGATGATAATTCTGACATCTTAAACCGTTTTTATACTTTGGCGGTTTTCCGCTCATTTTCTCTCCATATTTTTTTTCTAGAAACCGTATATTTGTAAGATCCCGGGCTGCACAAAGCGGTACACGGACCCCAGTTCCCTGAGGAAGCACGTGAAGACCGTCCACGGGCCCGAGGCCCACATTACAAAGAAACAGCGCAACGACGTCCTCCCGAAACCGGCGCCGAGGGAGAACGGGGACAGCGAAGGCGGTAATAGGCTGGCCACAGAACATACAGAGACAAACAACGCCCCTAGAGGCCGGGAGGACTCCTTCCATACCAGGACAATCAAGACCGAGGATAGCATGGTACGTAGCTCAGCTTTGTTCGTATCATTATTATTATTATTCAGGATTTATGGCGCCAACAGTTTGCTCAGCGCTTTACAATATAACGGGAGACAATACAGCAACAATACAGTTCAGTACAAGAGGGATAGGAGGGGCCTGATCCTTGGAGCTTACAATCTAGGAGGGGGGGGGGGGGCTGGTGGTACAAAAGGTAGTAACTGCGGGGGATGGGCTGGTAGGAGGAATAGAAGATTCCATTTTTAGCTGAGGGCAGCATAGGCTTCCCTGAAGAGATAGGTTTTCAGAGACCGCGATAGTGGGCAGAGTAGGCGATAGTCTGATAAATTGGGGTAGAGAGTTCCAGAGGATGGGGGAAGCTCTGGAGAAGTCCTGGAGGCAAGCATGGGAGGAGGGGATGAGGGAGCTGAGAGCAGGAGGTCGTGCGAGGAGCAAAGAGGACGGTTTGGGTGATATTTGGAAACAAGATTGGTGATGTAATTTGGGGCGGAGATGTTATATATTATTGTTGATGTTTTGAATTGTATTCATTGGGCAATGGGAAGGCCAGTGGAGAGATTGGCTGAGAGGGGTGGAGGACACTGAATTGGGGCCAGTGGAGGGATTGGAAGAGAGGGATGGTGGACACTGAGTGAAGGTCAGTTGCGGGATTGGCTGAGAGGGGTGGAGGACACTGAGTGGGGGCCAGTGGAGGGATTGGCAGAGAGGGGTGGAGGATACTGAAAGGAGGCCAGTGGAGGGATTGGCAGAATGAAAGGCCAGTGGAGGGATTGGCAGAGAGGAATGGAGGATACTGAATGGAGGCCAATGGAGGGATTGGTAGAGAGGGGTGGAGGACACTGAGTTGGAGACCAGTGGAGGGATTGGCAGAGAGGGATGGAGTACAGTGGAGTGATTTGTAGAGAGGGATGGATGCCAGTGGAGGGATTGGCAAAGAGGGGTGGAGGACACTGAATGGAAGCCAATGGAGGGATTGGTAGAGAGGGGTGGAGGACACTGAGTTGGAGACCAGTAGAGGGATTGGTAGAGAGAGTTGGAGGACATTGAGTGGAAACCAGTGGAGGGATTGCCAGAGAGGGGTGGAGGACACTGAATGGAAGCCAATGAAGGGATTGGCAGAGAGCAATGGAGTACAGTGGAGTGATTGATAGAGAGGGATGGAGGCCAGTGGAGGGATTGGTAGAGAGGGGTGGAGGACATTGAGTGGAGACCAGTGGAGGGATTGGCAGAGAGGGATGGAGGACACTGAGTGGAGGCCAGTGGAGGGATTGGCAGAGAGGGGTGACAGATACAGAACGATTAGTAAGGTGGATGAGCCTGGCAGCAGCATTCATGATAGACTGAAGACGGGATAGCCGGTGATGAGGCCAGCCAATGAGGAGGGAGTTACAATAGTCAAGGCGAGAGATAACCAGGGAGGGAATAAGTTGCTTGGTGGTTTCGGTGGTTAAGAACGGGCGTATCTTGGAGATGTTGCGGAGGTTGGAGATGCTGCAGGGGTTGGAGATGTTGCGGAGGTTGGAGATGTTGCGGAGGTTGGAGATGTTGCGGAGGTTGGAGATGTTGCGGAGGTTGGAGATGTTGCGGAGATTGGAGATGTTGCGGAGGTGAAGTCTACAAGATTTAGACAGTGATTGGATTTGGGGCTGAAAGGACAGATGGGAGTCCAGGATTACACCTTGTACCCCGGCATGAGGGGAGGGACTGAAGGTTGTATTATTGATCTGGATGGAGAAGATCATATCACTGACCGGCCAATCACAGGTAAAAGTACGTTCAGAGTTTTGTTTTCACTGGCCAGTATTTGGCTGGTGGTATTGGCAAGGTTTAACTTGGTTTGAATAGGTGAGTTTGAACGGTGTTGCCGCCTATCAGCTCAACAAGCTGCATTACCTTGCAGTACCCCCTTCCGGCTTCGAGTTATGTTTTAGGTGGGTGGTCATGGGGCAGTAAACCCATATTCAGCCACCTGTTTTTACCACCTCCTTGCTGCTTGTGTCAAAGGGGCTTAAGGGTATCGAGAGAAGATCAAAAGGGTTGAAAGAGTCCTCCACCAGTGGTGCTGTAAAGTGTACAGTTGGATGAATGGCTCTATATTTAGGATGTATCCGGTCTATAAAGGCCAAAGGCTCTGAATACACAGCTAGTGTGATCATTTGATATCTCCAACTATTATTGTTCAGGGCCAGATCTAGGGGGTTGATAGGGTAGGCTACACCCCCCAAGATTTTATTTGTGCCCTCCCCAGGTCTCTGAGAGCACATCCACTGATTCATGAGCCAGTTGATGTAAAGGGGGCACTCTGATGGGAACATGTAATGTAAGGGGGCACTCTGATGGGGTAACTAATCATATGTAATGGGACACTCTGAGTACTATTGATTTAAGGAGGGGCTCTATTGGGAATGCTAATGTAAGGGGGCACTCTGATTTGGATCCTGATGTAAGGGGGCACTCTGATGGGGATCCTGATGTAAGGGGGCACTCTGATGGGGATCCTGAGGTAAGGTGGCACTATGATGGGGACACCTGATGTTAAGGGGGGGGACTCTTATCGGTACCCTGATGTAAGCGGGCACTCTGATGGGAACACCAATTGTAAGGAGGGCACTCTGATGGGGATCCTGATGTAAGGGGAAACTCTGATGGGGATCCTGATGTAAGGGAACACTCTGATGGGGAGGGGACACCTGATGTAAGGGGACACTCTGATGGGAATCCTGATTTAAGGTAGCACTCTGATGGGAACACCAACTGTAAGGAGGACACTCTGATGGAGATCCTGATGTAAGGGGGCAGTCTGATGGGGACACCTGATGTAAGGGGGCACTCTGATGGGGATCCTGATGTAAGGGGGTACTCTGATGAGGACACCTAATGTAATGGGTCACTCTTATGGGGACACCTAATATAATGGAGCACTCTTATGGAGACACCTGATGTAAGAGGGCACTCTTATGGGGATCCTGATGTAAGGGGAAACTCTGATGGGGATCCTGATGTAAGGGAACACTCTGATGGGGAGGGGACACCTGATGTAAGGGGACACTCTGATGAGAATCCTGATTTAAGGTAGCACTCTGATGGGAACACCAACTGTAAGGAGGACACTCTGATGGAGATCCTGATGTAAGGGGGCAGTCTGATGGGGACACCTGATGTAAGGGGGCACTCTGATGGGGATCCTGATGTAAGGGGGTACTCTGATGAGGACACCTAATGTAATGGGTCACTCTTATGGGGACACCTAATATAATGGAGCACTCTTATGGGGACACCTGATGTAAGGGGGCACTCTTATGGGGATCCTGATGTAAGTGGGGTACTCTGATGAGGACACCTAATGTAAGGAGGGCACTCTGATGGGGTCCTGATGTAAGGGGGAACTCTGATGGGGATCCTGATGTAAGGGGACACTCTGATGGGGAGGGGACACCTGATGTAAGGGGATACTCTGATGGGGATCCTGATGTAAGGGGGAACTCTGATGGGGATCCTGATGTAAGGGGACACTCTGATGGGGAGGGGACACTCTGATGGGGATCCTGATGTAAGGGGGAACTCTGATGGGGATCCCGATGTAAGGGGACACTCTGATGGGGAGGGGACACTCTGATGGGGATCCTGATGTAAGGGGGAACTCTGATGGGGATCCTGATGTAAGGGGACACTCTGATGGGGAGGGGACACTCTGATGGGGATCCTGATGTAAGGGGGAACTCTGATGGGGACAACTGATGTAATGGGGCACTCTTATGGGGACACCTAATATAATGAAGCACTCTTAAGGGGACACCTGATGTAAGGGGGCACTTTGATGGGGATCCTGATGTAAAGGGGCACTCTGATGAGGACACCTAATGTAAGGAGGGCACTCTGATGGGGATCCTGATGTAAGGGGGCACTCTTGATGGGGACATCTGATGTAAGGGGGCAGTCTTATGGAGGCCCTGATGTAAGAGGCACTCTGATGGGGATACTGATATAAGGGGGCACTCTGATGTAAGAGGGCACTCAGATGGGCACACCTGGTGTTCGGAGCACTCTGATGAGGACACCCGGTGCAAGGGGACACTCAGATGGGCACACCTGATATAAGGGGCACTTAGATTGGGACACTTGATGAAAGAGGGTACTCTGATGGGGATCCTGATGTAAGGGGGCACTCTGATGGGGACGCCTGATGAAAGGGGGACTCTAATAGGACACAGGTTTTGTTTAACCACCCTGATCTAATGACCACCTAATACATAATAGTGGTTCCCAGGTGGTGACAGTCAGTCAGTGACTCGCACACAGTGTTGACATTGTGCCCCCTGAATTGTTTTTTCCCCCCCCCCCCCCCCACCTGATCGGATTGGCTAGGTGCGGCCCTGTACCTGTGAACTAATCTTTCTACATTCCTGGTGAGGAGGTGCAGTCCTCAGTATATAGCACACATATACCGGATCATATATACATCCCGATCCTCAGGACTGTGACAAGTTAAACCCATTTCTGCAAACTGCAGCCTGTAAAGCCGTCAGCGGCGATCCTCCTGAAATGTGTATTTACGGCCCGCACTGCCCTGTGCTGTAAAGTTTAGTACATAGGGGGGGGGATATCGGGGAAAGGAACGCTAATGTCGGCATTAACTTCTCTGCACATTAAGCAGCGGGACTGAGCGGTGCCGGAGGGGTGATTTGTCAGCAAATTAACTCCTTGCTTAGTGCTGACTCGTCATCCACGGTCCTCCGCCGCAGAAACGCCGTTGATGTTTCATCTCGGCATTAATAGCTCCCTACATAATGATGGGGACACATCCGTGCCGGGACCGCAAATCGTTTACTCCGAATATCAGCTCTGCGGATGTCCCACAAATGTTACATATGATGTTCCATGAACACGGTCGTGTACTATGGAAATACATGTCGGCAGTAAAAATGTTCTTCCCTGACATGTCAGAAGGCGACCAAATCCTATGTGGTCTCTGGGGACCGCAGGAAGATGACTGTCAGTGCCGCTTGTAGCCAGGGCTGTGGATATGGGGGTACCACCGGTCCTCCTGTACGGGGCCCAGGCCAGCAGGGGGGCACAGGCAGCTGGGTGAATCAGATGTGGGCAGGGAGGGTGATCACCATGATGGGAGGGGGGGATTGCTGGAACATGTATGGCTTTCTCTGCAGCAGCTGAAACCTGGCTTTCAGTTGCTGCAGAGAGAGCCATCCAGGGGATCGGTTCCAGTAATTCCCCCCCCCCCCACATCACCAATCACCATGCATTTTCCCAGGCCCCCCTAGCCCCGCAGGGCTGTCGGCTTCCCTCCTCACATTTACCAGCCTCTTCCTTTCCTGACTGAACTCAATGAGTGATCAATACCGAGTTACTGCAGAGAGAGCCATCCAGGGGATCGGTTCCAGTAATTGCCCCCCCCCCCACCTCACCAATCACCATGCATTTCCCTCTGCTGCCCAGGTCTCCCTAGCCCCGCAGTGCTGTCGGCTTCCCTCCTTCCTCACATTTACCAGCCTCTTCCTTTCCAGAATGAACACAATGAGTGATTGGTACCGAGTTGCTGCAGAGAGAGCCATCCAGGGGATCGGTTCCAGTAATGCCCCCCCCCGCCTCACCAATCACCATGCATTTCCTCTGCTGCCCAGGCCCCCCTATGTGCCCCCCTAACCCTGCAGTGTTGTCAGCTTCCCTCCTCACATTTACCAGCCTCTTCCTTTCCTGAATGAACACAATGAGTGATCGATACCGAGTTACTGCAGAGAGAGCCATCCAGGGGATCGGTTCCAGTAATTGCCCCCGCCCCCCCACCTCACCAATCACCATGCATTTCACTCTGCTGCCCAGGCCTCCCTAGCCCCACAGTGCTGTTGGCTTCCCTCCTTCCTCACATATACCAGCCTCTTCCTTTCCGGAATGAACACAATAAGTGATCGGTACCGAGTTGCTGCAGAGAGAGAGCCATCCAGGGGATCGGTTCCAGTAATTTGCCCCCCCCCCCGCCTCACCAATCACCATGCATTTCCCTCTGCTGTCCAGGCCCCCCTATGTGCCCCCCTAGCCCTGCAGTGCTGTCCGCTTCCCTCACATTTACCAGCCTCGGCCTTTCCTGAATGAACACAATGAGTGATCGGTAACAATCACTCACTGTGTTCATTCACAACTGAAGTCTAGTAAACTTTGTTTTCTTGGGGGGGGGGGGGGGGGCCTGTCAGTTTGGCTGTATGGGGCCCCGTGGTTTCTAACAGCAGCCCTGACCGGGACCTCAGTCTTCAGTGGATAGAAGTAAGCTGTTTTACTGAGGATTTGATTTTCTCACCATCCAGCCTGCTGCTAGTCCATGTGAGTATCTGCAGTAAATATAAAAAGATTCGCTCAGCAGAGGTTATCATTGGACATTCTAGGAGCGACCACCCTGCTAAGGAGAAGAATCGTTCGTCTGCTGCCTACCCGGACCTCATAGCATTCACGGCCTGTAGTCTGTCTGCCTGTAATGTTCATTCATTTGACTTGTTGCACTTTTATTTCTTCACTAACCGCATGTCTGTCTTTTTGCCTTTCTAACACTTTCCAAAGGACAGACCTTATCAAGGTGAGAACGGTCTTCTCTGTGTATTGCATGACTAATATTCTCTTTGTCGGAGGACTTCTGTCTGGTTCTTGTTGCTAAACCTACAGGATGTCAGCGCGTCTTATCCCCACCAATAGTTCTGCTCCAAAAAGACACAAAGTATGTCTTCTGGGATCCAACAAATCACATTGGGGGGATTTACTAAAATTGGAGACTTCGGAATCTGGCGCAGCTGTGCATGGGAGCCAATCAGCTTCTTACTTCAGCTTTTTCAATGAAGCTTTGGCAATAGAATCTAGAAGCTGATTGGTTTCTATGCAGAGCTGCACCAGATTTTGCACTCTCCAGTTTTAGTAAATATACCCCATGGTGTCACCGAAATATTGGAACTAAGTTCACTTAGCGTTTCTGGGAGCATCCACATTGGAGCGATCTCTGCGTCCTAGAGTCCTTCCCCGGCCCCTCCATGAGTCAAGCCTTGGTTTCACAGTAGATACTTGCACGATCCTCTCCAAGAATCCACTGTGGATGCAAAAAAAAAGGTAAATAACTCCCCAAGCCTCACTCTGCAGAGGTGGACACCATGTAACTTGTTGGATGTCTGTGTCCTACAGTCAAGCCTTGGCTTCACTGTCTACAGTAGATACTCACACAATCCTCTCTGAGAATCCATTGAGGATCCAAAAAAAGGTAAATAACTCCCCAAGCCTGACTCTGCAGAGGTGGACGCCCTGTAACTTGTTGGTTCTCCACATCCTACAGTCCTTCCCTGGAACCTCCATGAGTCAAACCTTGGCTTCACTTCCTACAGTAGATACTCACACAATCCTCTCCGAGAATCCATTGAAGATCCATTGAGGATGCAAAAAAATGTAAATTATTCCTCAAGCCTGACTCTGCAGAGATGGACACCATGTAACTTGTTGGATCTCTGCGCCCTACAGTCAAGCCTTGGCTTCACTGTCTACAGTAGATACTCACACAATCCTCTCTGAGAATCCATTGATAATCCATTGAGGATGCAAAAAAAAGTATATAACTCCCCAAGCCTGACTCTGCAGAGGTGGACACCCTGTAACTTGTTGGATCTCCACATCCTACAGTCCTTCCCCAGAACCTCCATGAGTCAAGCCTTGGCTTCACTTCCTACAGTAGATACTCACACAATCCTCTCTGAGAATCCACTGAGGATCCATTGAGGATGCAAAAAAAAAGGTAAATATCTCCCCAAGCCTGACTCTGCAGAGGTGGACACCCTGTAACTTGTTGGATCTCCGCGTCCTACAGTCAAGCCTTGGCTTCACTTCCTACAGTAGATACTCACACAATCCTCTCTGAGAATCCATTGAGGATCCATTGAGGATGCAAAAAAAAGGTAAATATCTCCCCAAGCCTCACTCTGCAGAGGTGGACACCCTGTAACTTGTTGGATCTCCGCGTCCTACAGTCAACCCTTGGCTTCACTTCCTACAGTAGATACTCACACAATCCTCTCTGAGAATCCATTGAGGATCCGTTGAGAATGCAAAAAAAAGTAAATAACTCCCCAAGCCTGACCCTGCAGAGGTGGACACCATGTAACTTGTTGGATCTCTGCGTCCTACAGTCAAGCCTTGGCTTCACTGTCTACAGTAGATACTCACACACTCCTCTCCGAGAATCCATTGAGGATGCAAAAAAAGGTAAATAACTCCCCAAGCCTGACTCTGCAGAGGTGGACACCATGTAGCTTGTTGGATCTCCGTGTCCTACAGTCCTTCCCCGGAACCTCCATGAGTCAAGTCTTGGCTTCACTTCCTACAGTAGATACTCACACACTCCTCTCTGAGCATCCATTGAGTATCCATTGAGGATGCAAAAAAAGGTAAATATCTCCCCAAGCATGACTCTGCAGCGGTGACACCCTGTAACTTGTTGGATCTCCGCGTCCTACAGTCAAGC